GTTTAATCCGCCCGAGCAGCCTTCGAAGGTAATTGACAAAGTCCTTTAATCTGCGCGGTTAACGAGCTGCTGTTGTGGCTCCGACCGCGTGGCTCCCACGCGCCCCTCGCCGGGCCCGCCGGCCGCCCTTCCCCCAGCTCCGCAGAGACGCCCGGGCCTCCCGCTACTCCCTAAAGCTGTTTTCCGGCTCCGGGCGCTCTGGCCGCCGTGCTGTTCCCTGGCACCGTCTTCATCTCTCTCCCACCGGCTGCCAGTCTGTCGCCCCGTCTCCGTCCCTCGTCTCGTCCCTCTAGGCGCTTGGGAGACGTGGGGCAGGACTCTGGAGGGTGGGGCCCGAGCCTGACGTGGGCAGAGTGGACCCTGGGATCAGAGCTGGAGCTAGGCACCGTGGCCACATGTCATCCCCGACTGTCACCAGCCAGAAATTGGGTCCGACAGTCTGCAAGAACTTCCAGCGCTACCGCTGGTTGGCATCTCCCGCGGTCCCAGCCTGACTTCCCACCAGCAAGCTGGTGGAGTTACTGCCGAGTAACCCCAGGCTAGGGTTTTAGGAGAGGCTCCTTGGAATACACTTCTGTCCCTCAACACCCCACACAAGGGTTTTAGGAGAGGCTCCTTGGAATACACTTCTGTCCCTCAACACCCCCCCACACACACACACATACAACACACCAATTAAGAGGGTTGTAGGTTGTCTCAGGCCTAGGCAGAAGACTGTATCGTCACTGAACGTCTCTTGACTCAGTTTCCCCTTATATCCAAAAGGTTAACAGCATCACATTCCATAGGGCTTTTCTGGTTCTGAGGCAAGGACTGTATGTAAGTATCCAAGGGGTAATGGCTCATACTTCCCTGCTGTAAACTCAACCAGGCTTTATGCTCTCTCAGAGCCTCAGTTTCCTCATTGAGCAAACAAAGAGGGAGCAGAGCTATGGGGTTCCCCAGGGTCCCCTCAGAAGAAGCAGGTGAAGGAATTTTGATTCCAGGCAATGTGTACCTTAAAAATCACCCTTGGCAATCCTGAACAGGAGTCTGGGGAAAGGGGTCCAAAGGTCCCGGGGTGTCCAAGGAGAGCAGTCAGCCCCTTCAGGGTGAGCATACTTGGTTCAGGGACCCTGCTTTGATGGTTAGACCAGGGAAGCCAGGCACTGAGTGGGAGACAGTGAACTTGAGCACGTGCGTATAGGAGCCTTCAGGACATCTGCTCCTGGGCCTGTGGAAGGACAGGTAAGCGGGGGCCACCTAGCGGCTCCTCCTGGCAGTGTTTGCTGGTGGGACCGATCACCTACTCAGCAAGAGTCCTCGACTCTCCTGCCTGCTAGAGTGCAGGTGATGAGGAAGGGTGAGCGGTGGGCCTTACTCCGTTATCACTCTGCACCTGTGCTCTTGACTCAGGTGACACCAGGAGGATCAGTGGTGGACTAGGGTTGGCAAGAGCACACTCATTCCTCGTACACTGCACTCACCCCATGCACACAGGCTCGTCAGCCCCACAGGGGTTTAAGATGAGATGAACCAGGGGGAGTGGCCACATTGCAGACCAACACCTTCCCTATGCTCTTTACAAGGCAGGTGGGGGCCAAGCATCAGGGACAAGTCTATCTGCCCTCGGCATCCTGGCCACTGAGGGAGCAGCCTTTTAGCCAGCTCAGGGACCAGGCAGGGCCTCAGGGAGCATAGAACCCAGTACTCATGGGGTATGAAGACTTAATCCATCCAAAATTGCCTGGCGCCCTGGTCACTCCACTCTGATTCACCATCTCTTCAGGGTCCTGTTTCTTCTTCCCGAAGTGCCCTGGGTGATGACTCCACAGGGCAGCAAGTCTGAAAATTTATATTGAGATTCTAGAGAGAGGGTCTGGGCAGGCCCTGCTCCTCCTTTTGAGCAGGATCCATCAGTCACAAATTGTCAGCTGGCTCAATGTCCTCCACAGGGACCTCACTACAGTTCAGCAGGAGGACATGGCTCCTGGGTGCTTTCACACGGGGAGCTACTGCGTGGGCATTGAGGACAAAAATGAAGAGAGACAATGAGGAAACAAGTCACTCTGGGGGCCTAAAGTGACCACACACCCCAGTGCCAGTTCAGGAATGGCACTCCATGGGGCATCACCCTTCCATCCAGTCCTGCCCGGGGAAGGCAGGGTTCCCCCAGCTATCTTGATAAATCAAAGCTATTGTTAGTCTCCTTCATGGATGATGAAACATATTCAGAAATACAATTAAACAATTTACCAAACAGTCTAAAACAATGCAATTAATGCAGAATCGTCACTTACTAAGGATTTCTCGCACACTGAACACCATTCATTTGCGATAGCAACATA